TTTTAGACATAAGTGCTCCCTTAAAATGAATAATTATGGCCAAAAGAAATTAAAAATACAGACGATTCCATTAGAAACAAAAATTCTAATATTAAATAGACTAGCAGATGGTAAATGATCCACAGCTGTTGCTAACGAATTTAAATTAGGTGAATCCACGATCAGAGCTGCAAGTAGTTTTAAAGCGGCAAAGGATCGAATCACACTTCTTCTTTGCAGCAATGCCTCTGGTGCAAAGATGTTAACACCACTTATAAATGACATTATCAATAGTTTGATATATTATGAAAATGGACAAGAAGAACCGGAATCTATTACAGCAGATAAAATATATGCAGGGATCCAGATTTCTAAAAAATTGTAAACGCATTTTCTTAAAATATATACCAATCCGGAAATACGCCTAAAATTCCAAAAAGAGCTGAGATCATGCATGTCTCCCTATCGTGACGTTTACAAGCAATTAACCAGTCGACCGTCATCACAAAAACTGATCACTGACTTTGTGGTAGCAAAAAATAAATCAATTGAAATCCTGTCTTCAAGCGACGAAAGCGATCTTGAACCAATTCATCACAAGAAGATGCGCGTTTTAGATTATGACGAGTAGCAACAAACTATTTAATGTATAATTTGAAAACTTCTCCATGTATATGTACAATGAAGAATTAAATATGTTTACAATTTCTTCGGGTCTAATTTAAATATTTAATTTAATTGAAAGCATTCTCTCATCTATTTTGTAAATCATTGATGTATTCTCTAAGTCCGACTTTTTTTATGCGGTCCCTGTTCACCGCATAAAAAAATTTTTAGGTAGTATATCGTACAAAGTTGTTTATTATATGTAAGCATTTATACGATTTCAGAATAACTTTTTGTACGATTTTTTTATACGGTCCCTATCCACCGCACAAAAACAGGTTTTACTGTATAGCTAGTAGAATAATGATATGAAGACTAACTATAATAATGACATTCACTCTATTTCATTTGAGGTGATGAAGGACCGGTAGTTGAATTTTCCCACAATGATATGAGTAGAGCTGACGTTTCCTTTGAATTTCACATAGCCTTGCTTTCCCAAAATGTGTTCTCCCCCAGGATGGTTTGCAGTAACTCATCAACATCCCCAGCGAGAGTCAAACCATGTCAGTGCATCGTATAATCTCGACACGCTAATCACTATGTCACGCTGGATGGGAACACATTTTGGGAAAGCAAGACTACAGGAATCTCGATAGAAATGTCAGCCCTACTCTCATCATTTTGGGAAAATTCACCACCTTGAACGAAATACGGTGAGCACAACTCATACATATGATTTACTCGTGGTCTCGAAAGTCTGCTCACTCCCAAAAGATAGTCTCGAAAAAGAATGTGGTCAACTTGCTATCTTCTTTCTCATGATTAAGCTTAATCTATTTAGGCCAGTAGAGTTTTGCTGTACTCGTGGGTATTTTGGGCAAGCGGGCTAGGCAATGTTGTCAGGCTGAATTGTCATCGGAATAGGCGAAACGAGCAGAAGCCAATGATGAAGTTGGAGAATGAGAATAGAGAGAACATCTAGTCCGTATGCGCATCGATAGATGGGCACTTGTTATTTTGCATTACTGTTGGTCAGCCAGTTGAGTAGACGACGCCAAAGCGACAACGCCACCTCCCCGGCCTGTCTGTCCTGGAGCAGGGAACGGATGTGTAAAGATGTTGTTGCCTTTTATCTTTTTTTGTTTTCAAAATCCCTCTTTTTCTACAAGCACCCTGGTTCCCCCGTTTTCCCACTCACTGAACCTCCTGTCCGGCCCTTGCCTCGACCCCAAACACTCACTTCCCTCACAAACCCTGTCCTTTTCACCGGACCCTCGATAATTGCGTGTCTCTGGCTGCCCAGTTCGAAAGGAGCGGAAGCCGGTTTTCGAGCTTTCACTCCCTTCGACGACATTTAAGACTTCATTTGGCCAACTCACGACAACGTTCATCACCACCGGCCGGGCACATTGCTTCTAAGCCATTGTCCCGGCAAGCAGGCATGTGGACAGCCCCATGAACAGGCTGTAGTTCAACCGCACAGGTGCAGCCACAGGATAAAGTGAGGTCATTTTGACTGTCGTGCAAGCAGACAGGTGAAACGACTGGTTCGAATTCTCCGTTTTGCAACATCTAATCTGGCCTACAAGTCAAGATCAAAGAGATGTCATTGCCTAGCCTCAGCAGAAGAGAGGTTAGGGCGCAATCCTCTCACCAAAGACAATTGAGATCTTTCTAACCTGCCTCAAGAAGGCCAGAGTCATTAAACTCTTAACAGCCACATAGCCGAGGGGAAAGTGCAGGCAAAAACGGGAAGACCATAATCCGTTTAAAAATAAACAGATTACTTATATGTATTCCTAGTAGTATTGTTTAACTTGTCACAAGAATAGCCCTTGTGGGAAACTTCAATTATCAAGCTAGAGTGGCTAATAATCGAAAACATATTCATTTACGAAAAGAGTAACTAAGTTGTTGTTCAAGAATTAATTATAGTACCCCAAACTACTCATAGCAAAATAAAGTAACGTCCTCGGTTGCAATGAGATAAAATTTGAGCTGTTAGAGTCCTTGCTTGCATTTAAAAAGCAGTAGATCACTCATACTCATTTATAGCAATAAGGTATGAAGACCAAGATGGTGTGGCCTTTTGTGTGATCGCAGTATTCTTTCGTTGTATAGAAGTTGTTTGTCCTTGTTTTCGTAACTTGGTCATATTGGCAGGAAGACTTAGAGGAATGCACCTAGTCCTGATTTCATTGTATGCATCATCATTTCCAGAGTAGGACCGTGGACCTCTCGCCATTCGTAACACAAGAGACCAGGGCAGAAGGGGATATACCACAACTGTTTAGCACACGTTTGATCAAAAGATAAGCTTCACTTGTCTCTTTGACGAGTCGTAATATGGTGCCACGAATGGCGAGAATCACTGACGATGCCGACTAAGATGCCGGCGAAACGTCTGGGAATGTACAACGTGCACGGTCCTTCTCTGGAAATGAGGGTCCTACTGTCAGTCCTTAAATCACACCTTAAGAGACATGGATAAACTAAGTTCTTACTGATAGTACCAAAGCATACTCACATCAAAATTAGGCAATGCCCTCAATTGTAATTGCAAAAATGTATATGCTTAATTGACAAGCCACTATAACTGTGAATTTGGAAATGTCTGACTTGCCTAGAATCTGTCAGGCGCCCGGTAACCCACTTGCGTCCGTGACTGTGTAGTGCAGTCGTAATGTCACTAACCCGGTATCAAATCCCCTTTTTGGGGGTCTGATGAGATCTAAGCGAGGCCACACTTGACGAGGTCCTGGATGTGATAGACTTTTGGTAAAATGTGGTATAAAATTTTATTAAAACGCGAGATTTACTCATTTCATGGGGGAAACATCAACTATTAGTCCTTAAATCACCCTAAACAACCCAAGTTGACTAAGTTCTTTTATAGGGAAAACAGGCAGAATAAAAACTTACATGGAAACGCAGTCTGAATGCCAAGATGGTTACTATTCTGGAATTGCTCCTCTAAACGAACATGGGTAGTGAGGTGTGTAATTTTGACGATTCCATTACGTCAATGGGTCAAGGTTCAGAAAAATATTTACGCCATATTTTGATTGAAACTGAGGGTAATTCAATGACTGATAATTCAATTTTGCTTGGTTCGAGAATTTATCTCTGAACTTTTGTCTTTGCATATGCAGTAGTAGAAAGTTGAACTGTGGCAGTTATGATACCAATACAAACGTAACCTTTATTTCGCAACATACTCATTAGCTAATACAGATGGTTGAGAGATTTTTTTGACGCTTGGTACCTTTCGCATCTTGGTTTAGTTGCCCTGCCTTTGTTTCGATTAAAGGCTCAAATAATTTCCAGCATTAAGGCAAGAGTCCGGATCTATTCTTAATATAGAAAAATATGGAGCAAGTAATGCTTTCGGCCAGTAATTTTTTATAAGAGAAATGAGAAGAAATCCACTTCTTTTAGAAGTTGGCTCGGTTTTGTTTAAACGAAGGCTCAGGTTGTGATTATAGGTTAGCTACTCGCCACAGGCTCCATGAGTTTATGCCTATCCGGCCATACTTTGAAAGAGGAAGGGCGAGACAACTCGTCAGAGACGAGTGAAGGTTTCACTAAATCCGCTCGAAATGACACAATAGAAATTGGTATATATAAGTAAGAAATTGTGATACTTGAAGGGGTATTTCGAGGATATAGGATAGGTAAATAGACAAGGACGTAGGGAGAGATACCACAACCGTTGAAAAGATAGTTGGTCAAAGGATCGACTTTACTTCTCTCTTTGACGAGCTGTAGTGTGGTGTTAAGACTGATGAAGGGCTCACTGAGGATGCCGACGAAACCTCCGACTGGAAATTATCCTGCATACTGTGGACTCCGGACAAGTAGTGCTCTTCTAAGTCTCCCTGATAATACGATCAGGCTGCTAAAACAAAGTCAAACAACAACGAAAGACGACCACAATCATACTATAGGCCACACCATCTTGGTCTTCATAGCTTCGAGTAAAAGATAGCCTATAATTTGATTTCAGAAGGATATGGTTCTTTGCGTGTAGCTGATCAGAAATGACCAAACAATTTCGTCATCTTTGAGTCCAGTCGCATGATGTAAAGAATAATCGTAAATATGACGACCAAAATGGTTTGACCTTTTGTTTGGTCGCTGTCTATAACAACTAACACTATAAAAATGATCGTTTTC